TCGTGTCGTAAGTGCAAAAAGATGATAAATTAATGTAAACCAATGAGAAATCTTTTCTGAATATATGATTTCGAGAGGCATTTCCCGTAGGTAAATTAATTTTACCTTTTTCATTTTTCCTTTCTTTAATAATTACGTAACGCTTGCACTACTCGCGATCTTACCTCTATACAGGGTTATCCAAAAGTCACTGACTACCCCTGTAACTTTTTTCCAAATTGAGATAGAAGTTTGAAACTTTGGCAATGTTCCTCGGTCTTAAGTAGCGACTTTTTGGTCCACCCAAAATTTTAGGGGGCGGCCCCCCCTCAGGGGGGCGGGGGCTAACTTTTTTTTTTCAAATACCAACCCCCCCTTTGTGATATCTCATTCGAAAGATAATAGAAAAAGAAAATTTTTGGCGCAAACCGCAGGTCAAAATGTTGATTCTTGAGAAAATGGCGGCCGGTCAAAGTTCAAAATGGTGGAAATTTGGCATCTCCGTTTTTTATCGGCGGATTGGTGTAAAACTCAGAATCCCATAGTTTTTTGGGTCGAAAAAAACGATTCTGGCATCGGTTCTCCGGAAAAGTCAGTCCTTTTCAAAATGGCGGCCTAGAGCGGAAAGTGGATATTTAGGCTGCTTATCGTTGGATTTGCATGAAACTTGGTACCCGGGGGTATTTCGGCACGAAAAGAACGAATCTTTCATTGGATATCTGAAATTCTGACTAATTTCAAAATGGTGGCGGAAAAGTGGCGAGAAATCAGTTTTACGGCTGTTTACCGATGGATTTGCATGAAATTCGATATCCTGGTGGTTTTTGGCTGGATAAAAAGGAATCTTTCATTAATTCTTGAAATACTAAATAATCAATATAGCATTTCATGCAAATCCATTGGTAAACAGCCGTAAAACTGATTTCTCGCCACTTTTCCGCCGCCATTTTGAAATTCGTCAGAATTTCAGATATCCAATGAAAGATTCGTTTTTCTCTTGCCAAAATACCCCAGATACCAAGTTTCATGCAAATCCAACGATAAGCAGCCTAAATATCCACTTCCCGCTCTAGGCCGCCATTTTGACCGCCGCCACTTTGAAAAGGACTGACTTTTTTGGAGGACCGATGCCAGAACCGTTTTTTTCGACCCAAAAAGCCCTAGGATTCTGGGTTTTACACCAATCCGCCGATAAAAAACGGAGATGCCAAATTTCCGCCATTTTGAACTTTGACCGGCCGCCATTTTCTCAAGAATCAACATTTTGACCTGCGGTTTGCGCCAAAAATTTTCTTTTTTTATTATCTTTCGAATGAGGTATCACAATGGGGGGGGGGTTGGTATTTGAAAAAAAAGGTTAGCCCCCGCCCCCCTGAGGAGGGGGTCGCCCCCTAAAATTTTGGGCGGACCAAAAAGTCGCTACTTAAGACCGAGGAACATTGCGAAAGTTTCAAACTTCTATCTCAATTTGGAAAAAAGTTACAGGGGTGGTCAGTGACTTTTGGATAACCCTGTATGATGATCTTCCGAAGCATACACGCAAAAAGAAATCGCACGAAAAAGACAGTTTCCATCACCTCAAATTTCTCGAATAATAATGTAAAATTTAAACTCTGCACCCGTCAAATTTATTGAGCCACTTGCTCAGACTGTTCGAATGCATGGTACACCCCTTTTCTCCCTTCCTGCTCGGCCTACTGGAGCTCCAAAAAAATTGATGAAATTTCTATCATCGGGTTCGATTTCAACTTTCTCAGTAAATTTACACTCTGCTAAAAAGTATATTACAATGAACTAAATTTCTCCGTGAAATGTTGATAAGTGACGGAAATAGCGTTCAGGAAGTTGTAAATGCAGCTAGCAGTTGCGGTATCGATCTTAGTGTACCGTAGAATCATGCATTTTCATTAGTTTGACCACCATTCTGCTTAAATTTCACCGCGAATCGAAAAACGTATACTGTAAAAACAATTTCAGATTGATAAAAAAAATCGCATCTTTACTGTCTTTAAATTTTGAGGGTCAGATTTTGTTCGGCATATGAGACAGTAAGGCTGCGGGCAGTCTCAGTCTCGAGGGTTGTTAGACATAAGGACGGGAAAACCCATGTCATCGCGCCGCTTCGACAGTTTTATGGAACCGCGTATAGCTGCGGCGGCTTCCTTCCTCAGACAGAGCAGTGCTGAGACTGAGTCCCGCTTTGACCTTGGGCCTTGGGTCAAGTCTGTGTAGTAGTAATATGGAGAGGGATCTACTTACATTTCTCAGCGGTTTACACAGGTGTGGCTGAAAAATTGGAAATTCTCGTAGTTTCCTGAGCATCTAGAAGCTAGAAGCTTTCAATTGACCCAAAAATCGTAAAAATTGCCCCAGTAGATGGCTCAAATTAGGCGTTACAACGGGAATATACCTACAGCAAATATCGGATACTTAAGGTCGGAAGGAGGTGAATTTGGCTTTAAAAACGTCTCAGGCGAAGGAGGCTGAAGAATTTGGAAGACTGAAAATTTTGCGGATATCGGGACGTCAAAGGCTTTCACCAGAATCAAGCACCGTCGAAATCGGTCCGGTAGAACTCCAAAAATAAGCGTTACAGTGAAACCCCCAACGATTTCATTTATATAGATTAAGCGTTTATATTTTTCCAATTAATTTGTTCTCCTTTTTGTATTGATTTCTTTACTTTTTACTTACCATTCCTTAAACCTTTAATTTTTGCTTTTTTGCTTACTTTTATTTTTATTCAGAGATTAGTGTTTGAGTGCTAGCAGTGTACCAGTGTCCCTCCGATGAATGGAGGGAAAAAGAGTACCTTGACGCAGAAAAAGTATAGATGTTTACGGAATCACTTCGTCAAAAACTACGTTTATGTTTCATTGTAGAGAGGGGGTGGGTAGTGATTATTAATTTTATATCTTTGTTTCTGTGATTGTTCATGTTTTGGTCAAGAGTTGTCTGATTTGAGGAATAGCTTCGAAATTCAAAGCTGAAGCCTTGGCGTGCAGCTGAATCACGTGACGTGAAGTGCCATACACACGGAAGAATGGCATTTTCCTACTAAAAATGATAATTTGCAGCTAAAAGTTGGAAAATAGGTAAAAATGGATGGTACTTGCACTGAATGAGCCGTTACTCTGCCAATTCTGAAGGATATCAGCAAACGCACCCAAGTAGCAGAGGTTGCAACAACTTGCAATAAAATCGTTTGATTCTTGCAACTAATAGATTGATGTGCAGATTGCCTACTCTTTCCCCCGAAGGAGCTATCATTGTCGGAACTAGTTGCAATTAAGTTGAAACATGTTTCAACTTCAAAGTATTGCTGGTTGCCTATCTTTAGATGTTAAACAACTTTGGTGCAGCAATTTTGCAATCTCAGCAGGTCGCAACTTTGTCTTCCGATCAGATCGGCGAAAACCGGCACTTATTGACCAAAAGTTGACCGAAAGTTGCAACTTTGTTGCAACTAATACCAACATTGTTTCAACTTTGTGCAACTTTTACATTGAAAAATGCTACTCGGGCAGCCCTCTGTCAGCCGCCACTCATCACACGGCTGTGGGGAGGGGGGGAGCGCTGACGGTGGTTTACAACGCAAAATGACAGTTCGAGGCATTTCTGTTAAAGATATAGGTATGTCTAAAGGGATGAAATATTTTCTCTGTAGAATGACAATTCGGCAATTTCCACTGGAATACATCGTTCATTTGTCTTACCTACAGCCTTGAAGATTCAACCTGTGTCACTTAAATCGGTTGAGCATCGAGTAAGATATTTTTATAATTTTTCTCCTTGTATGTGGCCACTTCTAACCTAATCACATATCAACTTGTAAGACCAAGCTGTCCTTCGAATGCGCAAATCTCAAAAATACCATACCTACGTATGCATAAGGTATATGGAAGATTTGTACATTGGTCCTACTCAAAGAAGCCATCGTCAAATGCAACAGAATAGGTTTTGACAACACATTTTCATCAAACTTTAAAACTTCATAGCAGAGGCTTTTTCTTACCTATTCTTCCTTTTTCTCCTATGTTTGAAAATAAAAGGGTTTTCAGGCAAATGTAAATTAGTAAATTAAAATGAAGCATCTATCCTTAGGGTGCGGCTTATTTTCGTCATGTCGGAAAATCGACGAGGTCCGGGTGGCAATCGATGATACCTATGAAAATAATAGGCTGTATAAAATTTGAGCCAATTTGAAGCTTTTTTAGCTGATGCTCAAAGGGATCAAAACTAAGGGGCAAAATTACATTGGTTTAAATGGGCGGAAAAACGCCTGATCTGCGCAAATGCGTTTTTTGGATCTAAAATGCGCTTGAATGAAGAAAACCTGATCAACTCTTAGAGAGGCATCTAGGGGCCCATTTGAAACGAGAAAATCACACTTTTGACTCATGAGTGGGGACAGGGGGGTCACGGCGTAGCCGGTTTTGAGGCGCCGCGCCTGGAGCTAAGAATTCGCTTTTGATCGAACTCAAAATAAGTGTTCCAAAGTTGAAGAGGCAAATTTATCTCACAACTTGATGAGAAATAATGTATAATAGTTGTTTTAGCCCTTGAGAACTATAGTTGGCCCTTTACAATGTTACCTCACGTACTATTTCTCGAGCCTGGAACGAAATTGGTATATATATTTTATCTTGCACTCGAGTGATCTCCCTACCCTCACCCATAGGTCAAAAGTGTGATTTTCTCGTTTCAAATGGGCCCCTAGATGCCTCTCTAAGAGTTGGTCAGGTTTTCTTCATTCAAGCGCATTTTAGATCCAAAAAACGCATTTGCGCAGATCAGGCGTTTTTCCGCCCATCTAAACCAATGTAATTTTGCCCCTTAGTTTTGATCCCTTTGAGCATCAGCTAAAAAAGCTTCAAATTGGCTCAAATTTTATACAGCTTATTAGTTTCATAGGTATCATCGATTGCCACCCGGACCTCGTCGATTTTCCAACATGACGAAAATAAGCCGCACCCTAATCTATCCTACTTCCTCGACATTCCATTTTGTTTTTGTTCTAGCACTAAAACCTGGGAATTGTGTTGATGTAAACATAGGAAGAAGCGTCGCATCAACAGGTACTTCACCTCCACCACAAAGCATATCAACTCAGGTAACTTAATAGTACATTCATTGCTTCAATATAATTGTCTCTAATTATATGTATGCACTCCAATAATCATAAGCAATAGGTACCTACCAAGCTTTTATTCTAATTTTTCCTTTTTTTTCTATCATCATAAGTAAAAGTGCTTTCTTTTTTTTTGGGGGGGGGGTGTTCATCATGAAGGTCATCTAATTCTAAGGTCTTTTCTGCCTTGCCAAGCAAAGGTTGCAGAGCTCTCACCAACTCGCACCAACTCTTAATTCGAGAAAAAACGTGCAAAGTTTGCGAGTTCTTATTTGAGAAATTTCATAAATCAGTTACTTTAATCTCTTCCTCTTGGAAATGTATTTATTACCACAAAAGTAACAATATTTACTTTTAAATCTTGACAGCTTTTTCTGTATCCGAGGGTATATAAGAGCTCCATATTCAAATTTTTTCTAGAAAAAATGTATTATATCTCCAGACAGTAGTTTTACAGTTTTTCTCTTTGATTAATCAACTTCTTATTCCTTTTTCATAGACTTATGATGTTGGAGGAGGAAAGCTAAGAAGAGCTGTGTCCTTAGCTGATCATGATTTATGGAAAACGCCAACCAGATCTGTTAGTAGACAGTCTCTTCTCAGTGACAGCGTGGTAATTTTAATTTTATTTTATCTACTAATTACTTAATTTATTTATTTCGTTATTTTTATTTATGTATACCTGCATAGTTAAGAATCTACATATCGACGGTGAAAGTCGGCAATCACATAACTCGTTTGCGGTGTCTGAAAATCTCCGCCTCTACGTCATTTTTTTGAAGGAGAACAAATTGATATTATTTCTTGAAGTTTTTGCAGAATTTTCTTCGCATTGAGAAGAAAAATCATGACAGTTTTAGAGAATTGCCGTTGAGTAGTTTCCCATTTAAAAAATAAAGTATGACAGGAAGTCTGCGACGTCGCAAACCGAGTTATGTGATTGCCGACTTCCACCGTCGATATATGTTTAAAATCATCAACTCATTCTTTTGTTTTAGACAAAAAAAAAGAAGTGAATGAAAAGTACGTATCAGCATTAACCTAACCATTGAATTTTCGTACCCTCTGTAAGTATTTCAGATCCCTTGGAGTTCAATATAAATGACTTAGCGTCATAAAGGTATTTTAGGACCGTGAGGCCGTGATTGTAATGTTTGTGAGAGGAATATGTGTTCAAAAAAATCTTAATCTATCGCCAGCAAAAGCAATATTTAGACGAGTACACGTTGCCATGTAAACAAGGGAACAAATTAAACCTCTGTAGGTAGTTTTCAAGTCCATTTTGTCGGTTCGATTTGCAGCTTTGTGTTAGAGTCCAACCCTGAAAACTGTTAGAACGCTGGATAATGGGGGAAACCCCGTCTAGTTAGAAGAAGATACCCAGTGAAACCCTGGAATAATGTTTCGTTCTGGGGGTTTTAAGAAGAATTTTAGTAAAAACTAGTTCCAACGTAGGGTCATCTGTAAAAGCCCGAAAGTGGAGGTAGGAAACCATACGTAGGTATTTAGGGGTGTATAGCGCCCCCACGTCATGCACAATTGAACAGAAGTATTTTATATATTGCGATAGGGTGAGCTGTCATGGCGTCTTGAGTTACATGAAATACCTTTCTCTTTGCACTGGCACCGGTTTGTGGAGCAAATTTTTTTACATCGGCACCTGATAAATCCTTGCACAATGCACAGAGCCTCCTGCGGTACCTAAAGGTTGCAGCTGTTCGCAGGATTATCTCTTACTTATATCTTCATCGACACTGATGATATGCTCCCTTAAAACATCAAATTCTGATCTGATTTTCATTTTGGTTAAAATTCCGTCTTCCCAAGTAGCATTGGTCGTAACAAATAGCGATTTTATCGGTTGATTATCGCGATAATATCGGTGGCACTTTATCGCAATATTATCGATTAAAAAAATGCAATTTATAGCGATTAAATCGCTATCAGAGTTAAGAAATTTCGTGAAAGATTATGAGAAGAAATTTCATAAGGAAATTTCAAGAAATTTCATGAGGAAATTTCAAGAAGTTTCATGGGGAAAAAAGAAATTTCATGAAATTTCGTTCGATGAAATTACTTTTAGCAACTCTGATTGCTATGCATCCCAATGTTTTGTTAGATAGAATCGCGATCAGTTTTCGTTGATAAAATTGAGATTAAATCGCCATATATTGCGATTTTTGTCTCGATAATATCGCGATAAATTGCCGGTTGATAAAATCGCGATTTTATTGCGACAAGATCGAGGATAAGCGCTCAGATGTTGATGACCCAAGCAATTTTATCGCCGATAAAATCGCAATATATCGCGATTTTTCCGTTGAAATTTGCCGCTTGGGTTAGTTCCAAACCTGTACAGGCTATCTTTGACTCCCAAATCTATGACAATTACGTTCCGCAGTTACTCTTTTGCTTTTTCGACGCTTTAAATGTAAATTAATTCCATCCTCGAGTTTTCACCGATGGACTATTGTTAAAATTAGTTCTAACTGAAATTAGTCGTAAAAACCCGAAATGATAGTTGACTTTGGGTTTTTACAAACGCACATAGTCGCGAAATAGTTTAAACTAGTTTTTTTCGGGTTTGGACTCTAACATGTACGTTTCGGTGTGTAAGACATCAAGCCGTATTGATCCAGTTACAATATACCCACTGTTCCTGATCAAGATTAATGGATCCACCTACGCTCTCGGTGATTTTTATGCCCAGTTATTGTGCGAGTTGTGCCGTGTCCGTCATCTCAATTTATTGGCGAACGACCTTTTATTTTCATTGTTTAATTTTAAGACTCAGCAAAAAAATGAAGATATCATGGACATACATTGGTAGATATATACAGGGTGTTTCAGACCACCCGTACCAGGCCTTTTTCTCGGTTGGTTTAGGTCGTACGAAGTCGGAGACCGCGGGGTTGAATAGGGAATTGACCCCAAGGAATCCGAATTTCGTAGTCCCGAAACCCCCCCACCCCCCCTTGGGGGGAGGGTCACGATGCTAAAAGTCACGGTTCCCGACCGAATTGCGAATAGATCGCATCAGAATTGAAAAGCACGGAAAATTTCACGTGGAATTGACCCCTAAAAATCCAAAATCGGACCATCCAAGGCCCAAAAATGACTCCCTAAAGAGGGAGACAGTACCCCCCTCCATAATTTCTCTTTGGTCTCAAAATTGACGTAAATTCTCCAGAAAAAGACAGTTTCCCAGGTAATCGACCTCGAGAAATCCAAATTTCATGGTCCCGAAGCTCCTCTAGCCCCCCTTGGGGGGTAAACGGGGGGGGACAATTTTAAAGATCGGGGCTACTTCCCGAATCGCAAATTGATTGCATCCAAATTGAGGAGCAGAACACATTTACATCTTAAGTGACTCCTAAGAGTTCTAATAGACCCCCTGAACGGCAGAAAGTAACCCCCTGAGGAAGGGGGCCTCACCCCCGCCAAAAATTTCTCAGGATTCCTCTTTGGTCGCAAAATTGACGTCGGTTCTCCAGAAAAAGATGGTTTCCCATGTAATCGACCCCGAGGAGCTCAGGGAACATGAAATTTAAAGTCCTCGGGGTCGATTACATGGGAAACCATCTTTTTCTGGAGAACCGACGTCAATTTTGCGACCAAAGAGGAATCCTGAGAAATTTTTGGCGGGGGTGAGGCCCCCTTCCTCAGGGGGTTACTTTCTGCCGTTCAGGGGGTCTATTAGAACTCTTAGGAGTCACTTAAGATGTAAATGTGTTCTGCTCCTCAATTTGGATGCAATCAATTTGCGATTCGGGAAGGAGCCCCGATCTTTAAAATTGCCCCCCCCCCCCTTTACCCCCCAAGGGGGGCTAGAGGAGCTTCGGGACCATGAAATTTGGATTTCTCGAGGTCGATTACCTGGGAAACTGTCTTTTTCTGGAGAATTTACGTCAATTTTGAGACCAAAGAGAAATTATGGAGGGGGGTACTGTCTCCCTCTTTAGGGAGTCATTTTTGGGCCTTGGATGGTCCGATTTTGGATTTTTAGGGGTCAATTCCACGTGAAATTTTCCGTGCTTTTCAATTCTGATGCGATCTATTCGCAATTCGGTCGGGAACCGTGACTTTTAGCATCGTGACCCTCCCCCCAAGGGGGGGTGGGGGGGTTTCGGGACTACGAAATTCGGATTCCTTGGGGTCAATTCCCTATTCAACCCCGCGGTCTCCGACTTCGTACGACCTAAACCAACCGAGAAAAAGGCCTGGTACGGGTGGTCTGAAACACCCTGTACACTCTTGTAAATTTTCTTGCACAAACAATAACTGTACTGAGACCTCTTGAAACTTATGCTTAGTAATACCTACCTACAAATGAATGAAAATACTCTTGTCAGTCACGTAATGAGTCGCGCAGCCCATACAAAAGGTTAAGCAACAATAAACCAGAACTAAACCTTTAATAACACTAAAACTATAATGCTGTCTGTACTTCTTCGAGTGGACTCCCCATTCCTCAACTGGAATCAAGTGAAAATTATGTCGTTTTGTCCATTGACAATTTTAGTAAAGCAGCTTGGACAGAGAATTCTGCAATTTACTCAGGGGTGAAAGAATAAGAAGACTCGAAGTCAAAAAATTCAGATCAACATGACCTCTCAATGGTTCGCCAAAAAAAATGATCTTGGTGTCATAATTTCCAAAAAAAATAAGAGCGAAGTATCAAAGTGGGTAGGTACAAGTATGAAATTGAATATTTTCCAAAATGTGAAATACTTCTTGGGGAAGTTATTCACCAGTTATTCACTTTGAAAGTAATAACCAATGGCAAAATATTCAATGAACAAGTAAGTTCTAAGCCTCCAGGGAAATCGGTCTCAGGAAGTCGTATCACTTCCAAAAAAATGAAGCAGTTAATGATTTGAAATACTTGTTTCAAGTAAAACTGGTCGCTGCCGGCACGAGAGTCGGGTTCAATCCTCAGTGGTGACGGGTTTTAAGGACACGTAAAATTCCGTCTTCACTCCAATACCCTATCTTCTCCCTTAGAGGCGGCAGGGTGGGAAAGAGACACGGCCATCCGGTAGGAGTTAGTCCACACTGTTCGGCTGCGATCTGATTAAATTACGTACCTATTACTCACAATGTGCTCCCCTGCCAGCGATAAGTACCTATTGCAATGGATTCGAGCGGTAGAATCCACTGAAAAGTTGGGGAGGGATCACTGCTTAAACTCAATCTCCTATATACTTAATCACATTATTGTGTCTGCGTATGAAAAACAGGCGTTGCGGTTGGAAACAGTGCTCTGTGTTTCCTGTCCAGATAACAGTTCAGCCAAAAATTGTAAGGATGAGAAAAAATGATGTCATACAGAGTTTTAGCTCCTCAGTTCCAGTGTGAACGCAATCAGCCTGGAGAACAAGAGTCCCGTGTAGGGCCCTGATCAACCAGACGGATTGGGCCGCAGGGGAGAAGGGAAGTTAAAGCGACGCTACTCGCAATTTTAAGAAAATCTCTGAAATCAGTCTCGTCTTAGCTCATCAGCGATCCTGGTCAGGCTGCGATCGTCCCGCCACGCCGCGCCGTGGTCCAAGCGAATTCCGCGCCGAGTCGTGTGTGGTTTTAAGAGTGTGTTCCTGATATTGTTTCATTTGTTGTTATTATTCAAAGTCTAAAGGAGAGGGTTCCGTCGAAATTTTAGAATAAAAGTGTCCGCAGAAGCCCTAGCTACGTGTAGCTCTTTTCGTCTCCTACCTGTCCTTCGTTCCGAGGAGCAGCGGAAGACTCCCCGCCTTTTTCCTCATACCTTGTACATTTCCGCTGGTGGAGCTACCCCCCTCCCCCCTTCTAAAAAGAAGAGATCGAGTGTCGGGTGGTCTTTCATCTCGTCGCCTTAGCGCACTCCCCGCTTCCGCTGTTTTTTTTCGCCCGTCACACTATCAGGGGGAGGTATAAACAATGAAGCCTAACTCGGTGGAGGCATGATCGTGCTCTAAAAAATTCTGCGCTCGAAAAAAGTCTATGTTCTGCAGATTCTTTCAGAGTTAATACAACCTGATCGATCGTCAACTTAGTAGACGGCCACTGAACTCTTGGGGCCCAATTAGCATTTCTAAACGGAAAAATCGCTATATATTGCGATTTAATCTACGATAAAATTGCCAAGATCATCAAAATCTGAGCGATTATCCTGGATCTTATCGCGATAAAATCGCGATATTTTCGAGATAAAACTCGCAATAAATGGCGATTTAATATCGATTTTATCGGCGAAAATTGATCGAGATTTTATCGAACCAAAAATTGCGATGTGTAGCGCTTTAATCGCCATATATCGCAATTTTTTATGCGAGAATATCTCGATATATTGCAACCGATATAATCGCGATAACCAACGGATAAAATCGCTATATTTATTGCGATCACTGCTACTTGGGGAAATGTGATAGGTGTGAAAAGGACAAGTGGGTGGTGGAGCACGTGGCTTAACTTTGGGGTGCACGACGGAATTTGCCAGTATCCAGGTTTTCGGAGGACCCATCTGCCGGTCAGCCCCGGCTCCCCACAACATAGGGTGTCCCGAAAGTAAATGGACTCATGCTGTCATTTCAAAACGAAGCAAGCTAGAAATGTGTTCTTGGTTTCATTTTAAAGATCAAGTCATCTCCTATCGACTGAGACAATATCTCTCCATTCGGACTAAAATTAACCAAGTTACGACAGCTTTTGTAGAAGGTGTTCGCAAACCACCTACGGGTTTTCTACGAAAAAAATTCTTACCGTGATTTAGTCCTCAGTTCCGCTCCCATCCGACTTTCTCATGCTTGTCCCCTTGCTTCTCAAAGTATTTTCTATTGCTGTTAATACATTTCCGCATCCTTTCTTCCCATTTAACAAGCATCGTCTTGTAAAATTACTTTCCAGGAATGTTTTTAAAAGTTTTTTGGACGGCCGTCCTGATTTCAGCTTTTGTGGCGAATCTCAGACCGCGAAGATCTTTTTTAAGCGTCGGAAACAGCCAGGAATCACATGGAGCGAGATTTGGGCTGTGCGGAGGGTGCCCAAGAAGCGGAACACCTTTACTTTCTTAAAATTCCCTTGTAAAATTGGATGTGTGCACCCGCGCATTGTCTGCTTGATGCAAAATCCACGAATTTTTCACGAATTCCCTCTGAAAATCGTCCATCTTAACTCGTTATTATGATAACGCCAGAAGTTAGTCGACGTTTGTACAGTGTTGCTAAGATATCATTGGTGTTGACAAGCAGATAAAATAAAAACGCATTAGAAATGTTTTAAAGACGAAGGGGATGAATAAAAAGTACGAACCGCAAAAAACTTGTAGGCGGCACGCAAACATGCTTCACAGAAACTGTTATAACTTCGTCAATTTTTGTCCGAATGAAGTGATCTTGGTCTCAATCAATAGAAAATTTTTAAAATGAGACCAAGAACATATTTCTAGCTTGGCTCGTTTTAAAATGACTGCACCAGTCCACTTACTTTTGGGACACCATGTGTACAATTACTACTACAATTACCGCTGCCGCCGCTTCTGTTACCGCGGTCATCGCAGCACGCAGTCGTTAACTCTACTGCTACTACTAAAATAAAACCAGATGACACTCAAAAATCACTTGCAGTGTGGTGTCACGTGGGTATCAATAAACATGAGAAAAAATTAAGATACCTAAGTTCATTCTCCATTAGTTCAACTTTGTAATCTTAAAATAATGTTTCCGTAAGCCTGTTGTTTTTGATAGTCTGTAAGCACCTACATCAGATGGATGTACAACAGCCACTGTACATGGTTAATTAAAAATAAAATTTCATTTATTCTTAAAAATACAATTTCATTTATTCTTCTGATGGGTCACGGTTTCGCAAGTCTTTGTACGGGCTGCATGAATAATCTCCTAATTTATGTCGATGATACCTTAAATGTTTTCAATGGACCAATATTCAGTAATCGAACCTACCTCAATGCTCTCACACTTTTCTCAGTAGAATTAAAATACATACCGTTAATGGACTTTTTTTTGTTCCTTCTTCCAGAGCCTACCAATAACTCCAGTAAGAACTCCAGAGGATGACGATTCTCTACTAAACTTTGAAACCCAACAACAAGCAATAAAACGTCAACATCCCGTGGGTCGAAGATCATTTGATGCCTCTCATCAGAATATAATTCGGGTCATTACTTACTTGTAGTTCATGCTTTTTTGTTTGTAAAGTCATGAAAAAGTATAGGTCATCATCTCCATGATGTCAGTCCATAAAGGGTGTCCCAAAAGTCCCTTCCACCCCCTCGAAAATTTTACCTAATTAATATTTTGAAACGAAACTTTGGGGATGTTCATAGATCAATGTTAGCTACTTTTGGGGTCCCCAAAAAATTTAACTCCCCCCCCCCATTGAGAGGGGCTACGGACCCCAACTTTCTTTTTCAAATGGCAACCCTCCCTTTGTGACACATCAATCAAAAGAGGATGAAAAAAAAATTGGCGCAAACCGCAAGTCAAAATCTTAATTTTTGAGAAAATGGCGGCCGGTCAAAGTTCAAAATAACGGAAATTTCACATCTCCGTTTTTGTTGACGGATTGGGATGAGACCTGGTATCCGGTGGTTTTTCGGGTCGAGATAAACAATTCGGGCATTACTTTTCAGGAAAATTTTGTCTTTTTCAAAATGGTGGCGGTCAAAATGGCGATCTAGAGCGGCAAGAGAATATTTAGACTGCTTATCGGTGGCTTTGCATGAAACTTGGTATCCTGGAGCATGTCGGCACGAAAAAAACGAATCTTTCATTGAACATTGGAAATTCTACATAACTTCAAGATGGCGCCGGAAAAGTGGCGGAAAATCGGTATTACGGACGCTTACGGTAGGATTCGCATAAACCTCGGGGTCTTGTTGGTTTCTATTCGACAAAAATGACTTTCTCGCATTACATTTTTGAAATGTTATAAACTATCAAAATGGCGGCCGAGTTTCATGCGAATCCAACTGTAAGCGTCCGTAATACCAATTTTCCGCCACTTTTCCGGCGCCATCTTGAAGTTATGCAGAATTTCCAATATTCAATGAAAGATTCGTTTTTTTCGTGCCGACATCCTTCAGGATACCAAGTTTCATACAAAGCCACCGATAAGCAGTCTAAATATTCTCTTGCCGCTCTAGATCGCCATTTTGACCGCCACCATTTTGAAAAAGACAAAATTTTCCTGAAAACTAATGCCCGAATCGTTTATCTCGACCCGAAAAACCACCGGATACCAGGTCTCATCCCAATCCGTCAACAAAAACGGAGATGTGAAATTTCCGTTATTTTGAACTTCGACCGGCCGCCATTTTCTCAAAAATTAAGATTTTGACTTGCGATTTGCGCCAATTTTTTTTTCATCCTCTTTTGATTGATGTGTCACAAAGGGAGGGTTGCCATTTGAAAAAGAAAGTTGGGGTCCGTAGCCCCTCTCAATGGGGGGGGGGGAGTTAAATTTTTTGGGGACCCCAAAAGTAGCTAACATTGATCTATGAACATCCCCAAAGTTTCGTTTCAAAATATCAATTAGGTAAAATTTTCGAGGGAGTGGAAGGGACTTTCGGGACACCCTGCATAAAGGCTGTCCCTAAAGTGATGCGTTGGTAGCTATGGGTGAACAAATGAAACTAGCAAACTAAAACTATTACGTACTTATTCAGCCTGAAAGAGTAACTTTGTTAGCTTTCTCACAAGTTCTCGGCTTAGGTCCTTAGGCTTATTTGGTCAATAAACAAGTGTTCAAGAGAAATTGTTAAGAGGAACCCTCATCTACTTCTTACAACGTTAAGTTTTTCTACGTTTGCTATTCTTGAAAATTTTTTAAGCTGCTACTTTCATTTTTAGGTCATTCATATCCCTCATAAAATCTACGGCCCCCCCCCCCTTAATTCGGCCTGCATGACTTCTTTGTCGTCAATACCTGTATTATAAATTGTCATAATTATAAAATATTGTTTGAATTTCTCTATTGAAATGGTTACTTAAACCATATTGGTATGGTTACCTTTAAAATGAGTGAAAAACACAATTGGTGAGCTCCTCTGTTTATAGTGAGACGGATTGTCTATGGGTGTGTTTCCTTTATTTTGCATATCGTTTTCCTTCAATTTTGTTTCTCTCTCTGTGCAGCCTTTTGTCAGGCGAGCAGGATCGCAACCTCCGGAATATTTAAGCACCATGGTTAAAAAGCAAGTTACGCAAGGCTTGGAGATGGCTGAACTCTTGAGAGTAAGTTTCTTGTTTTCTATAATTGTTGGATAGTTTAACTGTAATCTTCAAAGCTCTTTCAAAGGGTGTGAAATATCTACTGGATTGGACTATTTTGATAAAACCATAGAAGGGATCATAAAGAATGTGAGTCACAATTGAAATGAAAAAAAAAAAAATTGAAGCAGATGAAAAGAAAGAAAGAGAGAGGTGACCAAAAGTGCTACTTTAATGGTTTAGTTAGACGCATTCATCTAGATTTTCTCGATTTTGGATTTTGCAATTTTGCAATTTTTGGGATTTTCTCGAAGATTAGTTGGTCACAAGGGAGAAACAATTACTCCAGGCATTCTGCTTAAAATAGGGCCTGGAAAAAAAATTGCGAGCCAGCCAATTTTTTTTTTTTATTCAGTTAGGCCCCCTGATGTCCCTCATAAAAGTCCTGACGATTCTGAGCTTCCCAATTAAAGGGGGGGGGGGCAAATGCCCCCAAAAATCAGTTTGCGAAATATCTCGGGAAAAAAAGCAGAAAAGGGAATATTGTCAGGACATCAATTTTGTTTCTAATGGAATTCCTCACAAGAATCATGTTCAATTTGTTTTATGGAACATCCCCCCCCTAAAAAAAAACAAAAATTGGCTACCTCGCGATTTTTTCGTTTAGATTTTAAATCGTGCCCGGATAACTGGAGGGAGGAGCGCAAATGACTCTTCGGCCTGAAGCGCATATTGTGTATTACTTATAAAGCAAACCCCGCACCATCATTGGTGCAGCCCAAAGCCTAGGGATTTTATCAATGGCCTTGATGACGTTACGAAAAGCCCGAGGGGCGCGGTCAGAGGGCGCGGTTCCGGGGACTCAGGAGAGTTGCCAATCTACGAAGACTAACTAATGGAGGAAGAATGAGATTTTTGGGGTAGCAAAAAGGGGTTTTTTTTTAGATACAATTTTAGTGATGTTCATGGACAACACGATCGTAATGGTGCCTGCGGTTTATTCATTCAATTGAATGGACCCTCCGCGCCTCCCCNCTACTTGGGTACGAAAAGCCCGAGGGGCGCGGTCAGAGGGCGCGGTTCCGGGGACTCAGGAGAGTTGCCAATCTACGAAGACTAACTAATGGAGGAAGAATGAGATTTTTGGGGTAGCAAAAAGGGGTTTTTTTTTAGATACAATTTTAGTGATGTTCATGGACAACACGATCGTAATGGTGCCTGCGGTTTATTCATTCAATTGAATGGACCCTCCGCGCCTCCCCGCATCACACGTCGTCGGCACTCGGGTAGTTACGATCCAGCGTGCATAATCGCCTGATGGACCCTTCCCCCCTCCCCCCCTTCGTTTAAAGAATCTGACTCTATCGATATTCCATTGCCTTCACCTAATTTTCAACTCTTTCCCACATGTTGCCTGTGTCTGTTTATTTTTGATTGGCACAATATTTCTCTTTGAAGGTCAAGAATATTTCATGCCATGACTATAGTACAAATAACTGGAAAGGTAAAAACGGAACTCCACCACTTACCCGGACCTATTTTACTCGTCAATTCGGTACTCTGGCTTCAGGGGTATTCATTGAATTGGTCAGTCGAAATGTACTTTTTGCTTCCACTTTGGCTGGAAATCTTTTCTTTTTATACTTCCTCTCTCAGTGGATTTTTATGCAATGAGTAAGTCTAAGGGGTTTCAAGTGCGCCATTCGAAAGGAGTGCACTTATGACTGAAACATAGGTTTTCTTAACTTTTATCTAATGACGGCAATCGAGAGAAAAGTTCACTCAGAAGTGCAAAAAATTTGGGTAACCTAAAATGGTAAATGGGATATTAATTGCACGGTATCGTAGCTGGCGCGGCGGTGGAATTCGTAAAGGAAGATACATGGCGGCGTCGCGGTGGCGGTGTGTCGTGATGTTGGTCCGTTGAAGGCTATAAGGAGGCCAGGCCGTGAGATTTTGACGATTCATTTCTTTCGGAACATTTTCCCACCTTTCTTAGTGCATTTTTTACTTCCATTTGCCATTTGTAAAAAACCGTGTTCTTCTCGAATAGAGCTCTTGCATGCGTGGGGGGTTCGCGATTTTAGTACCTTTTCTTATGAAAAATTTTGCGAGAAACACGATAGTGCCACTGGTTTTTTTTCTGAAATCCACTCTAAATCTTAAAAAAAACGCTCAAAGTTGAGGTCGTAATAGTTGGAGGCTTCCCAAGCTACCCTGAGAGTCCATTTGCATATAAAGGCAAACTCTGTATGCAAAAAGTGGATCAAATACGTTAACAGGGGGTTTCCTTTTCATTTGAGGACTCCAAAACTGAAAACACGCAACCCTATGCTAATGTATCTATTTGCTCCCAATCTTTGCATAGAAAGTTTGTCTCGATATATGTAAAGGTGGACTCTCAGGGTAGCGTGGGATATCTCCTCCATTACCTATCGTCAACTGCAAAATATCCTAAAATTTTCCGATCCCGAGGAGGGGCCGATTTCGGTCCAAATCGCGACCCCTCCTTTCAAAATTTGAAATCGGTACCTATTCTGATCATCGTTTGAGCAAGTACCAAGTCCCTCCCTTGTTTCAAAAGAGAAGGAATGCTCCAGATAGTATCAGCTGAAGGCATATTCTGTTACCTTTAGGAGGCTCAGCAGCATCATTTCAGCACTGAGGATCTAGGCGTTGCGTTGACGCACTGTGGGGACACTGATCCTGTGGAATGGCTTATAGACAATTGGCAGAACATGATTGACACCGTTGTGACACTCGCAACAAATTATGGCCATGAACGGAAGGAAAATACAATAGGCACTATTTCTACTAATGAAGCAATGGAAGCACTGAGGATGCATAATGGCAATGTCTGGGCAGCAGTCACTGAATGCATAGAACAACGGCAGAAGAAAGTGAGTTTAGGTTTACAATTTTACCGAAATTAGTCTGACTTTTCCGCAGATCATGGACTTGAAGTTTGTATTTATTTAACTGTAAGACTACTCAAGTAATAGGTCTTCCAGTACTATTCCAGAGTTTATAAACAGTCCTTTTCTATTTCATATTTTTTTATATTCTTAATTTGATGGTATTGTTTGTTTGATGGTTTTGTGGTATTTTGTATTTTATATTTCAGGTATATATAGCCTCCAGAGGCGCTTTGTTCCTCTGATGTACAGATATCGTTAAGATCATCAAGAGTTAGGGAAAACTTGGTTTGAGACGGCGCACGGTGGAGCGAAGCATAGGAATGCCCGGTCATCGCCTTGCTCCCCAACTTGTTTCGACTATTTCACTCGTTCCAATGGGCATTTCGTGATGAAACTTGGGCATCTAATGGTATTTTGATCGCAGAATTCATTTTTGACCTTACTTTTCTTGATTTATTGACGGAAATACATAATTTTGGGGGTTATTTCTAACTTTCAGTAGAAACGTGAAAAGATAAGTTACTCAAAGATAAATTTTACTCGTTCCTGTAGGCATATCGTGTTGAAACTTCATAGGCTTGTGGCATTTTGATCGTAGAATTCATTTCTGACCTTACTTTTCTTGATATGTTAACGCAAATGCACGATTTTTGGGGGTTTTCAAACTTTCGGCGGAAACATAAAAAGATAAGTTGCTCAAAGATAAATTTTACTCATTCTTGTCGGAATTTCGTGTTGAAACCAGTTGCAATCATGGTATTTTGAACGCTGAATTTATTTTTGACATTAGAATTGTTTTTATGTCGACGTAATTACACTACTTTGGTTTTTTTTTTAACTTCTGGTAGAAAAGAAAAGTTACTCGAAGATAGAATTAACTCGTTCTAGTAAAAAGCACGTGTTGAATCGTTGATGCACGATCATACTTTCATTTTAGAACCAATTTTTGAGCTTACTTTGGTTTTTTTACATCACATGCATACGTGCCTTTGAAGGATTTTATTCAAAAATCGATCGGAATGCAGAAAGAAAATTTACGCAGAGATTTTATCTGTTCCGATTGACATTTCATGTTGCAACTATTGATTTCCTGTGATACTTTCATTGAGGAATAAAAATTTGATGTGACTTATAATTCAATTGCTCGATCGAAAGACAAAAGGAAGCTATTTTTATCGATACTAT